GCCCAGAGCAGACAGGCCTGGGTGACAATCTTCAGGCCACCGCTTCCTCGCCAGGCTACTTTGGACAACTCCCTTGTTCTTCCTAAGCTTCGGTTTCCCCGACAACATACGGCAAGTGAGACCTATCACTCAGGCTGCACTGTGGCCCAGCGCTGGCCTTGGTGACGCCACACTTCACGTCCACGTCACAGGTGCTTAGGCAACAACGGCTTTTCTCTCACTCTCTGTGCTGCACCCTCGGTCAAATGACTTGAGTCCCCCGGAGGCCCTGATCACTCTGAAAGACACCTGAGCAACTACTCTGTGCTAGGTCTTGTTCTAGACTCTGGAAGCTCAGCATGAAGGGGACAATGCCTGTCCTTGTAAAACAAGCCCGTAAGAAAAGAGGTAAAGTGCCTACGTATTTGCTAAGGTGACAGAGTACCATAAACAATAAAGTACCATGAACAATGAAAATGCACTGTCTCACAGCCCAAGGTCAAGGCGTCAGCGGGGCTGGTGCCTGGGGGGGGCTGAAGGAGAGCCTGCCCCAGCTGGGTCCCCTGGCTTGTGGCCGACATGTTGGGCATGGCTTGCTTGGGAATACATCACCCTCCACTATGCCACACTTTGCAATTCCCTGTGAGGATGTCCGCTTCTGTATCTACATTTCCCATTTTTAAGGACACTGGTCCTTTGGGATTAGAGCCCACCTTCAAGACCTCATTCTAACTTCATTATTTTAGTAGACTGTTTCCAAAAAAAGCCATGTTCCAAGTTACTGGTGGTTCAGATTTCAATTTATCTTCTCAGGGGAAGGGGACCATTTAACCCTTATCCATGCCCCTTTCCAGCCACTATTTGATTTGTGAGTTGAGTTGATCCCAAACAGGACTCCTTCAACTCCTTCAAATCAGTCTCTGAAAATTCAAGATGTCTAGCATGTTCGTCCTTTTTTTTTCTCATTGAGTTTATTGGTACATTTTAGGTATGCAGTAGTTACATTCATCACTGGGATCTGTATCTTTACATGACAGGTCTTGGTTCTCATATTTTCCCCTTATCCCTGCCCTCCCTTCATTCCCTCCTCCCTTCCCTATTTACAAATACTTTATTTCCATTTTTTCATTTTCTCATTTTTTTCTTTTCCCTTATTACCTTTCCCCTACCCCTCCCACTTCCCCTATACCTTTAGTCCTTTTCTTCCTATTTCACATTGTCAATTATATGATTAGGCTCTTATGTACCACTATATGTTTTCACACCAGAGAAACTATTCAGTATTTATATATGTGTAACTTATTTATTTCACTTAGGAGTATATCCTCAATATGTACCCATTTTCCTATGAATGACTCTAATTTCTCATTCTTTATAGCTGAGTAGTACTCCATTTTATAGAAAAACCCCATCTTCTTTATCCAGTCTCAAACTGATGGGCAACTGGGCTGTTTCCAAGTTTTAGCTGGTGTAACCACTGTGGAAATCAATATGGAGACACCTCAAAGAGCTGGGATTAGAGGTTTCATTTGACCCAGCCATCCCTTTGCTGGGTATCTTTCCAAAAGAATTAAAAGAATCATATCACAGTGATATATGTGCACCTTTGTTTACAGCAGCACAGTTTATTCATCCTTTTTTAAAGGCTGCCTCCAAGAACCATCTCTGGCACTCTGCTCTCAAGAAGGCAAAAAACCAAAACAAAACAAAACAAAAAACACAGACCTCCCCTGCTTCAGAAGAGAGATGTACAATCCCCCACAGGTGCTTGGTCATAGACTGGCCCTCTGGGGGTCTCCAGTTCAGGCACCTGCCCAGCATACATAGCACCTGACATTCACAAAGGCTTCCACTCTGTGCACCCCTCATTTTTCTCTTTTACATGGGCATCTCATATAAATGGAAAAAGCATCGCTTTGTGAAATTGACTATCTCCTGCAGCTTAAATTGGAAGGATGTTTACTTATTTGGCCCCAGGGAATCATAAACATCTTGCAGCGTATGTTAACCGTTACTGCATAACACCATTCATTTTTAGTATCTGAAATTACAAAATGTTCCCACCAGGATTTACCTCCAGTGGTTAATAGACTGATTGAGCTCTGTTTTCCTTGTCTTGGGCCTCAGAGGGATAACATTATTGGTTCTGGTTTGTCCCCTTCAAAAATGTATCTTCTGATGGAAAAAAAAAAAAGTGGAGAGAGCAGGCACCAGGAGCAAGTCTCACCAGAAAACATTCATAAATGCCAAGGTGGAGAAAAACTCAATTACTAGAAAGGATCAGTGGTTGCCAGGAGTAGGGAGAAGGAAGGATGAATGAGCCTACCCATGCAGAGAGGAGTTTGGGGGCAGTAAAGTTACCATGTAAGAGTCTGTAACGGAGGACTCGTGCTGTCGTCCATTACACTAAGGACACATTAGAAGTGAACCTTGACCTATACTGAGGACTTTGAATGTTAAGGATGTGCCAGGTAACTTCATCAGTCCCAACAGAGTACCTGTGATTGTAAACTGTGTTGTCAACTTGAATAGGAAACGCCTAGCTGATTGGCTTAGCATGCCTCTGGATGCGTCTGAATGACGGGCTCACTGAAGACGGAAGACCCATCCTGAGTGCGGGTGGTGCCAACCAATAGGCTTGCACTCTGGATGGAATAAAAAGGGAAAGAAGGAAGTCTTGCTTCTGCTTCTTCAGAGGAGCCCCAGTCTTTGCCATGGCCTTTGTCAGTCTTCAGCCTTCCAGTGCAGACCCCTCACCTTTCTGATGTGGACAGGGTCCTGCAATGAGTTCCAGGCTCCTTACTTTTGACTGGATCCTCCGTCTCTCCAGTGCACAGATGGCCCTTGTGCATTCTTCCACACCTGACACTACAGGCAACCATCCTTGTGCACCCACCTTAAATCATTATATATGCCTCTTCTCAATTTTGTTGTGAACCAAATTATTCTAAAACATAAAGACTATTTTCAAGAATCATTTACTATTAAACAATGGCAAGCAGGAGAGATGACTTAAAACAATGATTCCTAAATGCTGGTGAGCAAGCCTGAAATGAACCTGAGGTGCATTTAACACACAGCTAGCTGAAGCCCACACCCCATGCCCCCACCCTCCCAGCTGGTATGTAGCACATTTGTGCTGCTCTAGCAAAATGCCTCAGACTGGGTCATTTTGTAAGCAACAGGAAATGGGTTCTCACAGTTCCAGAGGCTGGGAGCTCATGGTACCAACAGATCTGGTGTCTGCTGAGTGTTGCTGTCTGCTTCCAAGGTGAGGTCTATTGCTACATCCTCAGGAAGAGTCAAAAGCTATGTTGGCACCATGTAGGAGGGATGGGGTCAGAGGGCAAGGAGCTCTCTCTTCAACCTCGGCACTTTACAAAGCTGCTGATCCCATTCCCCTCATGGCTGTCACCTCCCAAAGAATGCACCTCTCAATGCCATTGCAGTGGAGATTAAATTACAGCATGAATTCTGCAGAGACATAGCCAGAGCTCCATCACAAGTCAGGGTTCTTAGCAGGAAAAGGGGAGGACTTGCATTTTTAAAGAAGGAAGAGAGAGAAGCAAAACAAGGTTGGGGACACAGCAGTGGAATCCTGAGACAGTCGCCCCATGTCCCACATGCCAACACGTGCCTGGCCACTACTTTTGAGCCTCTCCTCCTGGAGTCCTCATGGTGCCCCTCCCGCGGGCCACCTGCTCCCTTACATCATGACTGCACTACTCTTTCTTCCTGTGGAGACTGCCGTCCACCTGATGCCCAATCAGGTCAACCACCTCCCTCTGGGGCCTTCAGTATGGCCCACTTCTCTCGCCAGCAGCACACACCATGGTAACCATAGTCTCCTCCCCTGTCACCCCCCACTGGGCCATGGAAATCTGCAAGGATGTGCCTTGTCTCCTGTGCCAGCCCAGACCCTGGCTGCCTTGTCCATGTCGCCTGCCTGAATGACAGAGAGACTCCTCCCAGGGCCACCCAGAGCCTCAGGGACCTGTGACCACATGGGCAAGGGCTCCCTTTCCCTTCCTCCACACTGAGCTCTTAGACCTGGTCAGAGTTTGTGCTAAGAACTTCCTCATAAGCTGTGACTCGGTCTTTTTCTTTTCTGTTCCTCCCTTTGTAGTCCTCCAAGGGTCTAGGACCACCCTTGGTACCCAAGGGATCCCTGTAGACACTTGTAGGTGGGACACAGCTGGTACAGAAGGAACAACTCAGGAATACAGAGTTCCAGCTTCACACTCACACAGGGAATTTGCTTCTAATCTTTGCAGCAGGGGCTACTGCTCTTCGTAGATGCAGGTGAATTAGATGGGGAGGAAACAGGCTTAAAGCTCTCTTGAGCTGTGGTTCCCTAAATCTGTAGGTCACATGCATCCTGGACCCAGTGACAGCATCCCTGGAACAATATGAAAGCCCTGAGACTCCAGGGGAAAGCAGAAGCAAAGCGGGGAGGAGAACAGGCTGAACTTATTACTAGGCCAACACCTGGCCCCAAAACCTCCTCACCTCCAGGCAGGGAGTATTGGTCACACCAAGATAATGTCCTCACCATGCCCATGGTCTGCAGGTCCTTCGCCCAGAGAATGTTGACCAGGGCAGATCTGAATCCACTGCCCCTCTGCTGGAGCCAGCAGACTTGGAAAAGGTTGCAGCCCCATTCAGTGAGCCTTGAGGGCGTTCATCACGAGGAGCAGGAGGGCATTCTCTGCTTCTGGGAAGGAGCTGCGGGCTGAACTGGCCCTCTGGAAACCACCGGCTGAGAGACACTGGCATATGAGCCAGCCCTGCCCAAACTGGCGGGGGCAAGGATGATGTTCCTCTCTCGGGGGCAAGAATGGCTGAAGGAAGCCAGTGAATGGGTCCACCCTGTTCCTCCTCCCCAGGATAGAGCGAGCGAGCAGAGTGGGGACTCTGCAAAGCACCTGTTCATAACAAGCACTCTACACACCTGCACTGTGCTACCGCTGCTGTCATTAACTTTCCACCTTATTCTGTACTAACCTCCTCCATGTGGGCCTTGGGAGAGACGTGGGTACCAGGGACGGCTGGAAGGTGGCTGCCCAACTGCTGTGACTTCATTCAATCTTCCAGAAAACACTGAGTGTCATTCATAGGCTGTGCCAGTGCGGTGCCTAGAAAGTCGGCAGACTCCTAACCTGTCCAGTGGATTCCTGAACTCTGCCATTAAAAGAACAATGTGTTATGCATGTTAAAGCTCTACCTACAGAGGAGAAGGCGCGGATTTGTATGAGTCGCTTATTCGTCGGTAAAATCATCTGCTCTTTTGCAGAGCAAGCTCTTCTTTGTGGAAGGAAAAGAAAACCAACCTTCCAAGAAGCTGTGCAAATAAATGTGTCCTTCGCAGAGGTTAGTTTTCTCCTGGAATGAAAACAGCACCTTGGATTTTCATCGTTGGTTTTTATTGTCAAAGCACTGACTTGTGCGGTCTTCACAACATCCTTGAAAGTTAAACATTGAAAGCAAATACTATTCCCCCATTCAACAGTCTAAGAAAATAAATAAATACAGTGTTTATGAGAATCCGACATGTTTTAATTTTTTATTTTAGCTGAAAAGCACAAGAGAATTTTAGTTTTCTAAAGAGTTGTGGCATGTTTAAGGGACCTTGACTTACTATAATCATTCCTCTGTTGGGTACAAGAATGATTTAAATGTTTATTAATATTGTAGGTTTATCCTGCTGGGCATGTGAAGTATTAAAAAGTAAACATATTCATTGTATAAATGTGGTTGGAGATGTTTAAGGGACTCTCATTAACTAAGTTTGTAAATGGAACTCATTTAAGTCTATACCCATGAGTTAATTGAAAATCAATGAACACGTGAAAGTATTTGCTGTTTCTGTTTATAATCACCGCGACGCGTGGAAATAGCAAAGATTCGATGGCAGCCTTGAAGTCGCAGAAGAGCGCCAGCCCTTCGCGTTTGGCCTTGGTGTTTTGCGGGCATCTCACAGGGGTTCGGGCAGAGCAGGCCTTTGCCCCAGGCTCCCTGCTCAGTCCTGATCTACTCCTCCTTCCACACCCTGAGAGAAAACTGTCGAAGGGTGTTCAAAGTTCAGCCGCATCTTGCAGCCTCCCCAGCAGGCTCCCTGGACACGGTCAGGATTATTGTAGACGCCTCCTGACTCCCACCCCCAACCCCGCCAACCTTGCACCCTCTAAACTAGTGCCAGCTCAGCATCGGGGCAGCCTGGTGACAGAGTCAGGTCACGTGGCTTGCCCACCGGAGACCCTCAGAGGGACACCTCACAGCGCCCACCGGCGGGCACACAGACCTGCAGCTCCAGCGCCGACTCCTGCCCTCCTCCCTTCCTGGGTAGCTCTGCTGGCCTCAGGCTCACTGCAGCCCCCTCTGCCTCCTGGTGCCCCTCACGTGGACACGCCTGGACCTCGCCTTCATCCTCACTCTCCTATGCCTGGCAGACTCTTCCCTTGCGGTCAGCCTGGCTCCCTCTGGGATGTGCAGAGAAATGGTCTCTTGAGATGTTTGGGGGACTCTGTCTCCAGCAAGCCTGACTGAGCCGTGGCCCCATCTGAGCTGTTTCCTGTGCTTGGAGAATAAAAATATTTGGAAATATTAGTCAGTTCCCTAGCACAGGGATGTGTATCTCCCTAGGGAGAGAATCCAACAGTTTCTCCAGCTCCTCCAAGGAATCAGTGGACATTTAGGGATCTTTGTGCTAGAATCATCATTTGTCTCAAAATACTCTGCTAGCTCTTACCCTGACTCCAGTTACACCCACATGGACCTTGTTGCATGAATTTAATAAATTTTTCAAAATGACTGCAATTCTTTACTGATTTGTGATCAGTTCTTTCCTTTTTTTTTTTGTTTTTTTGATACCAGCTCAAACTCATCAGTTTCTCCAGCTCCTCCAAGGAATCAGTGGACATTTAGGGATCTTTGTGCTAGAATCATCATTTGTCTCAAAATACTCTGCTAGCTCTTACCCTGACTCCAGTTACACCCACATGGACCTTGTTGCATGAATTTAATAAATTTTTCAAAATGACTGCAATTCTTTACTGATTTGTTCTCAGTTCTTTCCTTTTTTTTTTTGTTTTTTTGATACCAGGGCTCAAACTCAGGACCTTGCACTTGCGAGGCAGTTGCAGTGCCACTGAGCTAAATCCTCAGCCCCAGTTATTTTATTTTTGAAATTATATTTGTGTGTGCACTGATCTAACCTTGAGATAAACTTTCTTGGAACATCAGCTTTTCATTTAGAGCAAAACATTCAAACGTTTTCATAAAATAAGGGCTCTCCTTAAAGCTGTAGTTGCATGGGCCTGGTCCTGTCCCTGGGGAATTCGAACATTTTACCGAAGTATTTCTGGGTCTTCATTCACATAGCCATGGCAACACGTCCTCCTTTCTTTCTTCCCTTCCTCAAGCATTTATTGAGCATGTATAATGTGTTAGGTCAGGGATGAATAAAACAGTATTCCTGCCCTCTGCTCACTTAGTCTAATGGCAGGGAGAGGTGTAAGTATATAATTATGAAGTGTAGTGACTATCGTCATGGAGCTGCCCAAGGTACAGAACAGCCAGCTGACTAAGGACAGCAGCTGGGTTGCTGGAAAACAGATTCAAATCTTGCCTCTACTACTATCTACCCCCACAGCCTCCCATGTATTTATATAACCGTCTCTTTTCCTTAACTACAAGCCATAAAGAGGTGCAGGCTTTGTAAGGCTTATGTGAGGATACTATGAGACAATGCAGGAAGGTTTTGGAGGTGGCTCACAGAGAGGGCTCCGCTCGTATTCTTGGCCTTGGCCATTAGGTTATGGCAGCATGAAGAAGGAAGGAGTAAAACAGTAATTCATTCAGGGGTCACGGATGGCTTCAAAGGATGAATCTTTTCCCAAGAAGGCAGGCAGGGGGTGGGCTTTCCAGGTAGAAGGAGCACCCAGGCATCTGAGGGTGAAAGCTTGGTGGGTGAGGGCCTTAGAAGGGTCTGCAGCCATGGAGGCAGCGGTCGGGCAGGGAGCTGAGTTACAGTGCTGCCTGTGTCCTGCGGGGGAACAAGGGCTGTGCCCTCAATGAAAGCCATGGGTGGACAGAGATCAAGGGCCTTGGAGGCAGAACGAGTGGAAATGGCCTCACACTCAGCCAAGGTGAGGGAAGACCAGGACAGAGAGGAAGCGCTGGTCTGTAGGAGTTCGGGGTCCCCTTCCCAAGGCCTACTGAGCGCCACCAGCCCCTTCACTGGTAACGATGCAAGATCACTTCCTGAGCTGATGATCAGATTCATGGGGTCACTGAAACTGAGTTCTGGAGCCAGAGAAAGAGCAAAGCCAGCCTTTATTAAACTCAAGGGGAAGCCGAAGACAGATGTGGGGAGAGAAAGAGCACCTCTGGGTGTCAAGACACGCAGCCTTGAAGTCTTTCTTCTCAAGACTCTTGCTCATGGCTGGTGTTGGTCAGACGTGAAAGTCAGTCTGGCCCAGGAGGACACTGCTGGGTGCCTGATGCTCTGTAAGGAAGCAGTCCAGACACCCTCATCCCTGTCCCTTGCTACTTGCCATCAGTCCTCAACACGGCAGATATCCAGATGATCAGGATGTGGCACCAGGGCTCTCTGTCTACCACCTCTCCTTCCCCTCCCTCCAAAACTCCGGGAGAAGTTTTCCTGGATGTTTACAAAGACTCCTCACTCCACCACAGTGGGAACAGTGGGCTTCGGGATTTGGGTTTTGATTTATAAATCTATGTAACAATAAAACCCAAAATATTAAACGGGTCTCTATTTCCCTTTTGTTGCTGCTGCTGCTCCTGTTACTGTTGTTGTTTCGGCTGCTGCTGTTTCTAAGTGCCAAATGCAAAAATCTGCACATATCCGAACACTGTTCTCCAAGAATAACAGCCCTTCAGAATTGCAATGAGGCTTCCATTGAGAATTCCCTTTTGTTCTGGAGATGCCACATGTAAGAGCCCTAAGACTAACTGAAACAATGGTATCAAGTTTTCTACAAAGACTGCAAATTTCTGCAAAGCCACGGTAAAGACTCAGGTGCTGCCAGAGTGGCCGCTCCTCTCAGCCTCAGCCAGTTTCTCCCAGCAAGGAGAGAGAAGCCATGGCTGCCGGGGGTTGGAGGGCTCCTCTTTTTCCAGGTGCAAACCTCAGCAACACATTTTACTCACACTACTCTGTGCAGGCCCTCCCATCTGGGTTAGCTTCTGAGCCTCCTTACTGAGAATAGTTTAAGAATCGACCAAACAAAATGACTCTAGAGATTTATTTCACAAGTTCAAAGAGAGCACAGGCTCCATAGTAATGCTTTCACCTAAAGTTAATCCCTTCCCAAGGTTCCACCTCCCAATGCCGTCCAATTTCCCGGTTCCTCGCTGAGAGCCAGGGTCCAACCAGTCCACTCGACACACTATTTGGTAATACTCTTGGCTGTGGTCCCCAGAACTGGAGGATGGACCTGTACTCCCTCAGAGCTCAGATCAGCCCCTGAGGCTGCAGGCTCAGGCTCACAGGCTACAACCCCAAGTGCTCAGTAGTGCCTGCCCCACGCACACCCATGTTCCAGGGCCCCAGCTTCCCCATCCCACCATGTTAGAGGTCCTCACTGCTCTCTTGTGCTAGCTTTTCATCACCATAACAAAATATCCGAGATAATTCACTTATGAAGAGAAAAAGTTTATTCTGGCTCACGGTTTTGGGTGTTCTGTTCCATGATTTACGGCTCCGATTACTCAGGCTGGTGACAAGACCGTACATCAGGATGGGAGCCCACGGCTGAGAAGAACTTCTTACATCATGAGCCAGGGAGCAGAAGAAAGCATGAAAAGGGCCAGAGTCCCACAGTCCCCTTCAAGGGCACTGACCTAAGGCCTTCCAGTAGGTCCACATCCTAAAGCTTCCCCATCTCCCACTGTCACCAGCCTGGGTGCCAACACTTTTTAGCACATGGAGGATACCCAAGACCCAAATTACAATATCTTCCACCTTCACTCTCTGCCTTTCTGTCTTCAAGGAATCAATCTTCTTTCCAATCCCTGAAACTCAAGGACACTCATCATAAAGGGTGTCTTTCACTCAACAATAGAACCAACTACTGGCCCAAATTCTTCAGAATGGGTTGCAATAATAGCCTCTAGTGATCTATGTAGTCAGCTTGGGCTACCATAGCTAAATATCC